TTAACATGCTGGGTTTCCCATCCGGGCTTGTGCTGCTGGACAGGTGAGACGACCATGCAAGAAGCACATTCACGGATACCCCTTTTGCGACTGCACATGACTCGATACGCTGTACCGCTAAGGCGTCCGACTTCACGCCTGTCAAGGATGGATAGTGGCGCAACACGTATGCCATGAGGGTATCAGCGATGCGTGCGTTTATGTTGAAGGCCTTCACATCTAGTCCAGTCGAAGCGCCAAACAGCACAGAGGCGACAGCGCGAATCTTCGCTTGCGTCTTAGAGTCGAAGAAGTCCAAGGTTAGTAGTGGTACCGGTTTCGCGGGGTCGTGGTCACTCAGTACTCGAGCAGCTTTGTGATCTTCGGCTGGAGTGTTGAAGACGTACGCGAATGCCTTGTTGGTCGACGTCATATTCCACGCGCCTCTATCGAAGATCCATTGAACGCACATACCTGACCCGTTCGCGTGCTGCGCTCCTCCACGTCGAAATGAATGCGAAGTCAGGCTATCACTCACACCTGCCTTACCCATGACTCGCTCGAGAACGCGATTAACGTAGCTGTGGATACCGGGCGAGGCGTCGACCGTTTTCGGCTGTCCACCAGACTTTGGTGCGTCTTGAGGATGGTCGGTAAAGTCAATCAGAGGTGCAGCTGGCGTCTGAGATGGTACGGAAGGCCCCTGCTGTTCTGGAAGCTGGTTGAGAAGTGCCGCTGTTGGCGATGAGTGCGTGATTAGCGCAAGGGCAACGGCAAGCAACGGACACGTGGTAAAGTCGGAGTCTGGGAAGAGTGATAAGTCTTGCTCCTCGGAAGTCTTGACCCGGATGAGCCGAACGAAAAAGATATCGCCGGATCCAATCGTCAGATTCGTTTTGCGGAGAAGCGTAAGGTCCGACGCGCGCCCGAACAGGTACCATAGTAAGCATAAGAGCGCCGCATCTTGGTAGTCGCTGGCGCAAGTTGCAGTTAAATACAAGTATTCGGTCATCTGCTTAAGAGCTTTCTTCGTGCATGCTGGGGCCTTGTTAACAAACGTTCCTGTCTCGCGTTTCATGCAGTAGCGCTCCAACACTTGGCCTTTCTTGAGCAGATTCTTTTCAACTGCGACGCGATGCTGGGGAAACTGGTCGAGCAACCAGTTCTTTGCCTGTCGGTAGTACTGCATCACCGAGTGTCGAGCTAGAAGCTGTCCCTTGCGGCCTTCCTTGAAGGCAAGATACATGCCAAATTTGTCTACCACACCTTTTAGAACCAACGCGGCCGTATCGCGGCTCATAGACGCCTCTAAGTATTCCCACGTCACATCTTCGTCTTTTAAAAACGCTAGAAACGAGCGTGCTGCGCTTTCCCGAGCGCGCTTCGTGTTGGCGGGCGCAAGATCGTTGAGGCTCATACTGAGTCGGAGATGTCGGAGCTTTCACGTTATTCGAAAAATATGTGAATGACTTGCAGTTTGTAAAAGGATATCAATAACGGGACCGCTCCCTCCGACCCGATATGTAGGAGCCAGCTCCAACGAGATTCGACCTAACCCTTACCATTTGGATTGGCCAAATCATTTTGTCAAGACCGTACGATTGGCTGTCTAATAAATAAAAATGGATGATTGGAGATTAATGTTAATACTAAAATTAAGTTGGGTCGGAGAATTGATGATATTCATCCATAATGGAGATATCCCATAATCCTTGATCTGCACAAAATACACAACAGAAAGTGTGGAGAGGCATCATCGACGATCACCAATAGAACTCATTTTCAATGCACTGTTATCGGTAAGTCATTGGTGATATTATTACGCTGCTGCCAATGAATAGAAGACACTAAACGCAACTGGAGATAGAGCTTTGCACCTTTCACCTGTACTTTGTATTGACTACTATGGTTTTCGTCCCATTTTTCGCAATTCCATACATAATGGCCATAAATTATGGCCATCCTTATGGTCATATCATTGGTTTTTACGTACCCCTGGTCAGCATCAACATTAGCTAGAACCTCTAAGTAATGGTTAAAATAAGCATGTTCAGCAACTAAATCATTATTATTATTTTATCATAAAGCGCGTCGATCAGACTCTTCAATGAAGCTTGAGAAATCGTTGCTACTTAGAAAAATGTAATTGTTGTAATCTTTAATTTGAAAAGCCCCTTTACCTTTATGTTCAATCGTAACTGTGTCTGAAGTGATCAAGCTTTTGGACATATTCATTGCTGCTTTGTTTTTGTTATCTACGGCTTCATCAAGTACCGTCATGAGCAGAGATTGACGCATACCATTAAATAGGCCAGTGATCTACTCCATATTACAAACCGTTTTAGCTAGGCAACCACCAATGACAAATCGATTGAAGCTTTCGAATGTGCTGTTCTTACCAGCTCCTTGTAGTCGCTTTAGGATAATCAGAGCTCCAGATTTCTTGCTTGGGTTTAGCAATCGATTAGTAAAATATTTCAGCAGATACTTGTAAATTTGCTCTTGTATTACTTGCATTGCTTGTTACAGTAGTGGGCGGAGTGACTCATGCCGCCGCACTCTGCGCTTGGTCCGTACTGTGGGCGTCGATTGTCGCGGTTGAAGTCACGTCGACCGCGTTGGTCCTGATTGAACCCACGGTCACCACCTAGGCGATCTTGATTGAAGCCATTCTCGCGATCAGGCGTGTTTCCACGCGGTTGACGGTTGTCTGAACGTGCGTAGGTGCCTTCCGCAGCTACACGGCGCTCATTTTCGTTAGCGGCGGCGAGGTATCGATCATTTTCATCCAATGAGAAATCACCATCCGTATTATCGGGCTGAAAGTCGCTGTACTCGTCTTGGACATCGTTGTAAGCGTTTGGATCTTCGTTTGAAAACTCGGTGCCCCCTTGAGCAGCTTCACGACCTTCTAATTCAGCTAGTAGGTCATCCACCGTGGCTTCAATGAGCGTCACTCTTGGTTTGTTGCGGTTGTCATCGCGGCGACGGTCATCACGCCGATTGTTGCGGGCGTACGCATCGTCGCGTCGCGCGTCACGATTCTTGGAGTATCGATACTCACTGTCACGCTTGGCCATTCTCTCCTTGCCCTTGAGAACGTCTTCAATGATCTCTTCGAGCTCGTGAATGTCAACGACTCGAGCGTGGTAGAGACTCTCCGCCAGCTTGTCATCATCGCATGTTGCCAGGAACTGCTGTACGTGTTCTTTCGCGTCGCGACCACTCTTCTCGAAGTGTAGACGGGCGGTCCGAGCGTAGCCATTTAGCCTGTTTATGTAATCATACAGATGTTCGTTACGCTCCCGCTTTGCAGAGTAGTAACGTGACAGTGCCGTCTGCGTGAACTGCGAGCAGTAGTAGCGGATGAACGCGTCGCTCAACAGCTTCCACTTGCGCTTCGTCTTCTTCGGAAGTTGAAACGGAACCATTGAATGGCTCCGTCCCGGAGACTTAGCTCAAATGGAATGCACCATTTGTCGGCATCTGTGTGGGTCTTACATAAAACAATATTTTAAATGTTGTAGTCTTACATCAATAACGTCCATGTTGATAATAAAATCTTTATCATACTTATGCATAAATCCTGGGAATAGATTTAGATTGTTTCTAGCCTTTTCTCTATTGCTTTCTTTAACGCCAAACCGAGTTAGAATCACACGTTTATAAAGAATGTTATCTCTAACTTCATCTAAACTTTAAGATAACTTGATGTTTGCTGCAATGCCATTATGTTCAATGTTAACTTCAAATGCTTTAACATTAATCTGAGAAAGAATGATATGAGGGTTAAGAGACATGACAATCTCCTTAACGTGATATGTGTTTTCACCGTTATTCAACCTAACTCTCAAAGTTTGATTAATTAATGTTGTAATCTCGGCTGTAGAAGATATCGTGGTTTTCTTTGATTTGAAAAGTAAGTCATTAAACTCGATATTGTTATTTTCATATAGCTCATTTCGATCCATGGTTAATACTTGATTATTGATCTCTTCTAAAACTAACGTTTTTGCTCTTCATTTTTACTAACTTCATTATTTTTAGTAGCTTGAAGATAGCCAATTTTCCATTGCTGGTATTCATCTCTATTTGTTTGACTAACAGCACTGACAATTGCTCCCATACTCAATTTATGCTCTCCATCTTCACTTTGTCTAACTAAAATTCTCAAACATTCGATCCGATTGAATTTACCCGATCGATCTTCCAAACGTTTCAGCCAAGTGTTCAGAGCGATATCATTATCTACTGAGCTGGCATTATACAATGCATATCCAATCTTTACCCAGTTATCAAAATTATTAAATCATTTGGCTTCTAACAGATTGCAGAGCTTATAGTATTTGTCATCAATGTTATTTTCATCAATGATGTTAAGGTACGTTGCACGAAGATATCTTTCATTTTTTTTTGCTTTTATTGTTTGAATTCCCATTCAGTACATAGCTTATTATCTAAACCATCTGGGATACGGCCCAACTGCTCTGGGATGCTAAACACGCGATAATGCTTGCCAGCAAATACTACTACATCATCATTAGGTATTCTAACACCTTCCAAACCAGATACGTTAGTTCCCGTTGCTAGTCTCTCATCATATTTGAATTTATAGTGACGCATGCCAGATGGCGTTTTAATGCTTGCACAGAGAAGTCTATCGTCTTTAACCCCTTCAGCCCGATGCGCTTTATAAGATGTGTAAGCAAATCCTGTGAAAAGGATAATCTAACTTGTATATACAGCCCAGTAATAGCGCTACACTTGGTTTTTGTAAACACGAAGTTTTTTTAGCCTGACGATGTAACACGCATTACAAAAGTTAAGTCACTGACTTGTCCAGTTTCAGGCTTTGCCATGAGAAGGGCGAGGGACAAAAGCGCAGTCTCTACCATTTTGTTTGGATAATTAAATGCTGCAGGTCTTTTACACAAGCGTCACATCATCTAGCATATTTCGCTGGATTTTTTTAGTAGCCAGCAAGATACCCCCATTTTCGAATTTGCGGAGTTTTGAAGAAGATGGGTGCTGCACGCGAAAAGCGCCGAGCCGAGCGCATCGTTGAAGGCGGTACGCCTACCTGGCGTCAGACCTGGAGCGAACTGAAAGCGAGCGAATGGACGCACAAGAAGCCTCATGCAAACTCGATCGAGACGCGGTGGAAGCTTATTCCGCCTGGTGGAAAAGCACGCGGCATCGAAGGCACGGTCCACGTTTTGGGAGAAGAGCGAGAGTGCGCTCAGTATACCTCCGGTACGTACGCTTAGCTGTATTTCATTGTCTTGGCGTTGCCGACATGTAGCTTTCTGCTGCTATTGAGTTAGTTCATTCAATGACAGCGGTCGAAGCGCTGGGCTCGGCGTGCGCTGCAAAAGGTAGATGTATGGTGAATGACAATGGTATATAATTTGGATTCTCTATCATGTATCAACGACTATTGCCTTTGTTTAGAGCTTACGCCATCGAGCACTTAAGCCGTTGGAGCAACAGCTATTGTCGGCCCAGGCATCGACGAACCCCAGCCGACCCGCCAGATACGACCGAATTGACCGCAATTTCTGGGAGTTCTGTTACCTTCCATGTCAGAGCGCGTCGACGAGCCCTGTGAATGGTATGTACTCCCAGCGTAACTAATGTGATTGCCATACTTACTGTATGTCTGCGGTATGGTGCAGGTGATATAGTTGATATTCGAACCTCTAAAGACAGGGATGATGAATTCGAGTTGGTTCCGCGGGATAGGGCGCTTCGCCCAAGATTTTCCGCTGATACCTCCATTGGGACGTCTCTGTTTGGGCCGTCCGACGAGGATGACAGTGATGATGAAGTTACCATCTTCGATGACGATGACGGCGATTTCGACAACGACAATGGTGCGTACTATTCTATCCTGTATATACAACACATACTTACGCGGTATATCACGTACTCGATATGATGTACTACAGCTGATAGCCTTATATCTAGTGATGTGGAAGATAATCTCAACAAGATAGAAGGTAGAGAAGACCCTAACGACATTGGTGGCCCTGCGTCTGACGAGTAGGATATTGACGAAGACGATATTGTCGATGAAGATGATGTACAAGACAGTGTTGCCGATGTTGGTGTGGAGCATATAGAAGATGGCGAAGAGGACAAAAATGAACCAGTTGGCGATGATATCAATTGAGTTGAATCTATCGCGAAGCGACACTTGACCGAGATGTTTCTCGCGTCGCTTGGAAAATCAGACAAGGTGCTTACTGGGAATATCGTCGGCGACGATTTGAACAAGCTACGGTAGGACAGCGTAACCGGATGGTCGGACCCCGAATCCTCTGACGTTTACGATTACTTGCAGCGCCCGTATAAAGCCGTTGGAGACGAAAACAGCTACGCGGACTTGCGGAAGGATCCTTTCGGACCTACGCCAGATGCGATGAAGTGGAGCGATTCCCCACTAGCGATATTCTTCAACGTTTTGTCAGTAGCACTTTGGCAGCACAATGCTGTGTGCAGCAACAACTACAAACACGAGCAGACCGATGTGCTTGTTGAAGTATACTTCGACCGCCGGAAAAAATATGCTGCGTCGCCGGCCGGATGACATGACTCCACTACGATCGCGCGGCGATGTACGTGTGTTACTTATGGCAGTCAAGCCTGTGCTTACGCATGAACTCTGTGTGTTCATGAGACTTCTTCTTGCTTGGACAGTCCAGCCAAACCGAGAAAAGATACCCAACCACTGGAAACGGGAGGATGAGGGGGCTATCGGACGAAGCTCGTTCTCTAAATGTTTAAAGAGAGACCGTTTTATAGAGATTCCCAGACCCATGCACTTCTCAAGCAGCCTTGATCCTTGCGTCAAGTCTGACAGAGCCTGAAAGATTCGTAAGGTAGTACATGTGCTGCAGCGCACATTTCGGCGTGGATTTATACCTCCTGCTGAGCTTGCGTTCGATGAAGTCATGCTACCGTCACGCTCGTTATTCAACAGGACTCGAGTGTACATGAAGGATAAGCCGTGTAAATGGGGGACAAAGTTGTTTATCCCTATGCTGCGCGCACACCGCGTACTGCGTCAGGTACTTACTGTATTTTTCTGAGTTTGTATGCTGTATAATATACGTTACTATGTAATGTATATTTTCTGTACAATTCAGGCTTGAGGTCTACGTAGGCAACAAACAACACATTGACAAATCGACGTCAGTGACCAAAACGTCGGGCCCTGCGGCCGTGGTTCGCAACCTGAAAGCAGTATTTACTGACGGACAAGATAAGTGATTTCATCTCCTGGTTACGGATCGCTTCTACACCAGTGTGGCGCTTGCTATACAGCTACCGCTGATGAAATTCTATACGGTCGGCACTATCATGACAAACCGCATTGGGTTCGCTGCAAATCTCAGACCAAAGAAGAATGACCCGAAGAAACGATCCAAACATGTCTTGCGGGGAGCTTTCAGTACCGTTCGATCAAAGCAAGTCAAGCAAATGACTGCCATCAAATGGTGGGACAGCAAACCAGTTTTGTTCTTGTGTAGTGGGATTAATCTTGCGCTTGAGAGGGTTGTGAGGAGGGAGAAGGCTGAAGAGCAACACGAAGTGGCCTGTCCTAAAGAAGTGAAAGACTACCACAACTTCATGGGCGGGGTTGATGTGCACGTTCGAGGCCGCCTGCAGCGGTACTTTTGCAGCGTGCAATGACGTTGCAAGTACTAGAATTCTCTGTTTTTGGGACTCGTGGATCTAGCTATTGTCAATGGCTACATTGTACACCGTGCTTTTCACACAGGAAAGGGAACACGTCCTTTGACTCACGGCCAATATATCCGCAAGTTACACCTGGGACTCATCAACCTGAAAGATGAAGACATGTATGAAGGCAACACGTTTGGAATAGGTGGGTGTGGTGAGCTTGCTATTGTATGTACACTATTGTCTGTACACGTTAGACTAACATGTATATGATGCTACTGAATACCCACCTATTCCACATTCCAGAACTCGTTCCGGCAAGGAGCGACAACTCCCGATTCGGTCCCGTTCGTAAAGCGTATCGTGCATTCGGCAAAGCAAATCGACGAATGGAGAAACCATTCAGAGCAGCTGAAATGTGTACAGCGCTATGCAAACTGTGTTTCATGCTACGGACGAGCGGAAAACGCGGCGGGACTACTACCTACTTTTGCGATGAACATTTTAGCTCGCTTCCTGTCTATCTGTGCATAAAGCCGAAGCATACCATGGACGGAAAGCTGCGAAGTAGCTGGGATATCTGGCACTACTTGCTCAAGAATAGCACGGACATTTTCGCCAATATGCTAGGTAAGATGCGTCTTCGCAAGTCGCCCGCCAAGCGCCGCCGAACGTCATTCGATGAAGATAAAGATTCGGAATGAGCGTCACATCTATAAGCAGTCCAGGACCAAATGTGAAGATTGCTTCTGCTCATGGAGTGTCACTTTCCAACTGACATCTATTTTATATGCTGGCGTTGAGGACACTTCACAATGATTGCGTCCGTTCCTCAATTTAGCATACTTGAGCTCAGTATTGGCGTGATGTGCATCTTATGCATCAACTTCATTTTTAAATTTTGACATAACGCTTTTTATTCGAAGGGGGGGGGGGGCGATCTGGTTCTGTACACTTGTTACTGCGCGAAACGCAAGATGGTAGTGCATTGTCCGTCCATATACAGCGTAGCAGCGTAAAAGCGGTAAGTATACAGCACAACCCGCGATAATCGTAGCGTCTACTCTACTAATCTATTCATTCACCATCTCCTTACACCCTTGCGGCATACAAAATTCTATACTAAATTACGCGGTATATACAGGCTCATGTTACCTTCAAAATCCTTCGTACTGAAGGGGTCAATTTCAATTCCAATTTTTTTAGTTTAGCAAATCCGTCTATGTTGTTCTTACGATCAACATACAATGGTAGTAATCCCAGAAACCTTACCAGTGCATACAAAGTAATTATCATTGTTTATCTTTGTTGGTCTAGAAGTCAAGTTCTTCCAGTTTTCTATAAATGTTGGTTTTGATTTCTGATCGTTGTTGCAGTAAACATCAGCGATATCGCTGCTAAATGAAGTTATAAATGATTGAGTTGATGTGGAGCTCATTAGTATCATGTGCTTGCTAAATCAGTATTAGCAATATTATAATATAGGAAAGACTTATGTCTCAAGGTATTTTTGTGTAAGTATTATACTATCAATGAGTTTTAACTTAAGATGAACATAATATTAATATAGATATTTCAGAAAATCTCAAGAAAAGCAGAATATCTAAGCTGCGGGACGTCCCGCATGCTGGAATCTAAACCTACAAGATATCCTGCAGGTTATAAAAAATGCAAATCTGAGCTACAAGATATCCTACAGCACAGAATCTAAATCTACGAGTCATGTCGCAGGTTGAAAAAATATAATCTGAGTCCAGACACGTGTCCGACCTGGCGGACGTCCGCTAAGTAATTCAAAACTGATTTCCACATATATGGATCAGACCCAGGTGGACCTATTTGAAATCGAGCTGACTTAAAAAATGTAAATCTTTGTTTTGCTAGCTGGCCCATTGGGTGCCAGCGACACCAAAGTGGGTCGATTATTTAGATTGTTGTTCTTCCACTAGTCGAATATGACGTTTATTCCATTGATGGCGCTTCACGGAGTCTTCAAACCATTCTAGAACATTCACATTGGTCCATTGGTAGAGTCATCTGAAATATTTATATTAATATTATGTTTATCTTAAGTTAAACTCATGATAGTATAATACTTACACAAAAAATATCTTGAGACATACATCTTTCCGATATTATAATATTGCTATTGCTGATATAGCAAGCACATGATATTACAGAGCTCCACGTCAACTCAATCATCTATAGCTTCATTTAGCAGCGATACCGCTAATGCTTACTGCATCAACAACTGTGTGATTGAAAAGGTCAACTTGAGTTTCACGAAAACCGGAAAAGACATCTATCACAAATCAAAACCAGCATTTATAGAAAACTGGAAAAACTCGACTTCTAGACCGACAAAGATAAACACTGACAATTTCTTTGTACGCAATGGCACGGTTTCTGGAATTACTATTATTAATGTTGATCGTAAGAACAACAACGATGTACTCAAAAAAATATGTAATTGAAATTTAAGACTTAAGAAATATATGGGCAAGCATTAAAACGCCATCTGGCATGCGTCACTATAAATTCAAATATGATGAGAGACTAGCAACGGGAGCTAACGTATATGGTTTGGAAGGTGTTGGAATACCTAATGATGATGTAGTAGTATTTGCTGGCAAGCATTATCGCGTGCTTAGCATCCCAGAGCAGTTGGGCCGTATCCCAGATGGTTTAGATATTAAGCTATGTACTGAATGGGAATTCAAACAATAAAAGCAAAAAAAATGATAGATATCTTCGTGCAAAGTACCTTAACATCATTGATGAAAATAACATTGATGACAAATACTATAAGCTCTGCAATCTGTAAGAAGCCAAATGATTTAATAATTTTGATAACTGGGTAAAGATTGGATATGCATTGTATAATGAAAGCTCAGTAGATAAAGATATCGCTCTGAGCACTTGGCTGAAACGCTTGGAAGATCGATCGGGTAAATTAAATCGGATCGAATGTTTGAGAATTTTAGTTCGGCAAAGTGAAGATGGAGAGCATAAATTGAGTATGGGAGCAATTGTCAATGCTTTTAGTCAAACTGGACGCGATCGCATCGCACGTGGCTGCCGTAAACACTGAGGGTAAGCCGTGTGTGTGGGTGCTGGACAGCGAGAAGGTGGCTAAACTAATGCTGTGGGTGTTCTGGCTTGTGTGTGTGGGTTGTACAGGTTGGCGAGCTGGCCACGGCCAAGGCATGCGTGGTTGCCGTGAATGCTGAGGGTAAGCCGTGTGTGTGGGTGCTGGACAGTGAGAAGGTAGCTAATCTAATGATGTGGGTGTTGTGACTGGTGTGTGTGGGTTGTTCAAGCTGGCGAGCCAGGCGCGATCGAATTGCACGTGGCAGGCATTCCCGAGGCGAATTGCTTTTGGTTTGAAAGGTGGCTACTGGTAAACAAACTATTAGAAGATGTGGCTTTGGCTAGCGTGGACAACGAAGTACTTCCGTTTTTATTGATGCGTTTATATTCGTATATGTTTATTGTTTTAGTCGTCCAACTTGCCGGTCCACGTATCACTTGTTGCATCTGCCATTTGGCGCAAAAGATACTTCTGCAAGAAGGTCAGTATCTTGGGCAATACGCTTCTGTCAAATATATCAATCCGGTAATGAGGAAGCAAGCACAGCTCGCCCAGTACATTTTTACTTCGTAAACGAAGAAAAAGCTGTTGAAGTACACGACCGATGCATGGCAAAATGGTGGCTGCGTAGATAAACTACATGTTTTCGCATCACCGTTCTTGAGCAACACTTTATTGAGCAATGACTCCACATTTGAGAATCTATTGATCAATTGACAGCCAAGATACGTTAGCTCGGGGCGGTTTTCTACACTAATCGATAGTTAAGCGGGTGTCTAAAGTGCGATTGAAGCAACAATGTTACCAATTCC